AAAGCTTAATAAAAAATTGATACAGGGCTTTAGAATATCGATACAGTATCAAGAAATGAAATATCGTGATATTTCATTGTATCAATATTTTCTTACACCCCTACTCTCCAGGCTCTCCACCTCCTCCCTACTCTCTAACATCTCATCTGTAAACATAGTCCAGGAGGACTCCACCCTCACCTCAACCTGTTCATCATCACAGCCAATGCTTGGTGTAATCCCAACCCCAACTAACTTGTTTAATGTGTACAGATTGATTGTGCTGGGATTTTAAACAAATTTGTCAAATTCAGACATCCAGTAAAAAATGTATAACATCTCCTCATTAATTAACAAAGTCAATTCATATTTTACAACCTTACAACTGCAGTGTTTGTTTTTGGTATTTACGCTTGTTAATGCCATTCAGTTGTCACCATGTACACGGTACACAGTACTGTGAGGAGGTGCAGTAAAGATTGCAGTAAAACAAACATACGTAACCAACACAGGGTTCATGCAGGTTTCAGTAAGTTAAAGTTAAGACCATTRAAAAACATTTTTAGACCACTAGGAATGACATTTAAGACCAAACTGACGCATTGACAGAAATGTTCAAATGGTCCCAGAAATTTTAACAACCTTTTATTGCTTTCAATTTAGCTTTTAAAGAATATTAAATTTTAATACAAGAACATTAATGAAACGCTCATATCTATGAGACCTTCATATCGACTGCTGTGAACCGGTTCCAACAGAGTGCAGAAATCACTCACATCAAGCCAAGTCTCATTGAAAACACACTTTCCCGTGTTTAAACAACAAGCAGTGGACTTGACTGAACTTCTTTGTTTTTTTGGGCAGGTGAACAAGCCGCTGTATGTGGGGGGCTGTAGTGGCAAAGAGGTTGAAAATATGTAAGTAAACTGTGCTCTTTTTTGCCCGCAGTTATCACAGGATATGTAGTTTAACCACAGACCAAGACAGGTAACAAAGTTATCACTTCATGAAGACAGATCGTGTCAACCTCTGATTACGGCTCTTTGTTTATTTATGCAGCCAACGCTTCTCTGGAATGATCAGCAAAAAAACAAATTAAGACAAAATAAAAGTAATGACCTTGGACAAAAATCTGGGTGTTTTTAAGAATTTTTTAGACCTAAAATTTTGATTTTCAAATGTTGGACATTTTAAGACCCTGCAAAAAATAACAGATATTCCCATGACATTTAAAGGTTAAATTTTAATTATTTTTAATCAGCATGAATTTTTAAGAGAGTTCATGCAAAGTTTTCTTCCCTGTAAGCGGTCTGCAAACCAACATGTTTGAGAAGTCCTGGTCTAGACTAGGG